TSGWKSAWSAAGRRGGRRGAWRMTRMTRMWAYRAKKWKTTTKTTKTTKTTKTTKTTTTTTTTYCCCACCCTGAATGGTTTTTGATGTCTGTAGCGTGTCTGGGTTGAATTTCTCCCCACAGTGTAGACAGACTACACCCCCAGGCTTAGAATTGACTCTGCAAACTTAATGAAGCAAAGATTTGAGTGCCAGCCAGTACTAGTTTGAGGTTCACTGTGCTGAGTTCAGGAAGTAGAAGGAAGTCAGGATTGGAAGCAACTGATAACTCTTGATACCGGTCCAAAAGAAATGCCAGAGAAGCAGCAGACGTGCTGTGAGAGGACATAATGGATGGCTTGATCGATTCTGATTAGAGAAATCTAGGATGACCTGGGCACGGATGGTGTTTGAGCTGGCATTTGCCACCACTGCCAGCTTGCCAGGCTGGTGAAAGGAGGAAGTGATTTTTCTATTTGCTGTATATTTGATTTCTGATAAATTTCCCAGAAGTACCTGTTAAATTCTGAATGAATTTCCAATGGTAGTCTTAAAACTGACAGAAAAATATAGGGAGGTGACTTTCTTTTGGTCTTCATTGTACATGCTATACCTAGTTTCTGTTAGTAAGCTGACTTTTAAAATTACATTGAATTGCCTGGTTTACACTTACCAAATCTATGCTTTTTGTGTTTAACCAAATTGATAACAAATAGAATAGTACTTTGCAGATTATGGAATGCTTTTGAATATATTTATTTTGTTTACTTCTCACACTAATGCTATGAGATAGATGAGGGTTGGTTTTCTCTCTCTCTCTCTCTCTTTTTTTTTTTTTTTTTTTAATAAGGAAGCAAAAGCTTAGAATCTCTAGTAGTGGAACTTATGTCTTCAGTAGAATACAAAAACACCTGACCTCATCCATGCCACCAAACACTTTAGATGGGTTTTCCCCCACTCCCACCCAGTAGTGGTTAGTTTTATTCTAAAATAAGAATCAGATAATAAAAATTAAAGGATTAGCAATTTGTAAACAGGCATATTTTCTGTTACGGAAGCAGAAAGGTGTGGGCCTGAGTGACTGAGTTCTTCAGACTAGTTGGGTTCTAATCTAGGTTCTGCCACTTACGGTTATATGGTCTTGTAAAAATTACTCTCTGGCCTCAGTTTCCTTATCTTTAAAATGGGAATGGTAATAGTATCAACTCTCATCCTTATGTTTTGGGAAGGATAAAATCAAACATAAATGCTGTTATAAAATCTGGTTCATAGTAATATTCAGTAACTATTAACTTTTATTCTGGGCATTGAAACAGGCCCTCAAACTGAGAAAAATCATTCTTTTCCAGTGACTATTCCTTCCAGTTGCTTTTTGAATCCATTGCACTTCTGGAAATTGCCATAGTACATACAGGGATTTTAACTGGTTCCATGTGACTGTTGACTATTCTAATCCAATCTGTTTGTGCTACCCATTCTTCCACACATATAATATTTCTGGGGTACTAAATAAATAATTTTTCATTTGGAAAGAAATCTATTTTGGTCTAGCTCCATAGTATTAAAAGTTCTGCTTAATGTGAAGGGCAAATTTTTTGACTGAAGTAACCAGAAATGAAACTGACTTACCTACAATGAAGGGGTTCCAGCTTCTCACAGTGTCCAATAATAGTGTGGACTTTTTTGCTAGGAATACTATCAAAAGGATCCTGTTTCATCAAGGACTGCATGCTTTGCTCTTCACCCATATTGTTGATTTAAATTTTTTAAAAGATAGGACTAGGGACAAGAATCTAATGCAACTTGGAGTCTTCACTTTGGGTTGCAAAAATTCATTTATCATTGTTCACTGGGGATTGCTGATTGGCGAGTAAGTCATTCATCCACCTTAGTACATTGAGCCCATGTTTGAATCCTAATTACCTCAAAGCTCCAAAGAGTGGGTTTATGAACCTTGTGTATTATTGTCACAAGTAATTTGCCATCTGGAATACAAGTTCTACACTTTTTTCTCTTTTCCAAATTAAGTTTGAAGAATATAGTCATTTGATAATATTGTTTTTAGATACTTATAGTATAATAAAAAGATAAACTCAAAAAGTGTTGATAGAGCCCAATAATTATCAGGGTTGGTATATAACAGCTGATGTATTTATTAATAGGATTCCAGTTTATCTATGAAGCATTTCTGTTAGGAATAAAGATAGGAAAGGGGAAAGAGGGTAGGTAGGAATGAGGACCTCAATAAGTACATATTATTAACTGACTTATTTCATGTGGTTTTAAAGTTCTAGAATATAAATTCTGGCTCAGACCCAGAGGTTTCTTACAACATAGCAAGAACAATGCAGGAATTTTATTTTGAAGTTTCCAAATTCTCAAGGTTAAAGTAGTGGGGCCCCTACCATAGTCATTGCTACACCACAGCCTTATCATTCTAGGTCTTTGTTAGGGAAACAAGATGTGACAAGAACAATAGTATTTCRGGAGATTAGGTTGACTCTCCTCCCTAGCAAGGATGCCAAAGGGGCAGAGGAATTGATATTAAGTATAATTGCCAGACTAGTTGATCAAGCTGATCTACAATTCCTTTACTCTTATCATCTCTTATTAGTGCACAGTCTCTTCTTTCAGGCACATATCCCCTATTTTTTATTCTCAGATTATTGTTTGTGAACCTTGCTGCAAGGAAGGAAGAACTGTTTTTTAACTAAAAAGAGTATGTGATTTTAAAATGGAATAACGCTTAATGCAAATTCAGGATCTGTCATCATAACATGAATCATTATTTCTTTGAGTCTCAGTTTACAACCCCATTAACTTGTTAGGAAGATTGATTTGGATATCCTTGACCAATAGTTCTCAGTAGGGTGGAGGGAGATTTTGACCTATCTCTGACATTTGTTAATGTCTGAAGACATTTCTTATTGTTCATAGGAGGCTGCTACTGGTATCTACTTGGTGAAACCCAGGGATTCTGCTATCTAAACATCCTACAATATATACAGGACTTCCTCCTACAACAAAAAATTTTTTAGTCAGTGGTGCCCAAGATGAGAAAGCCTGTCCTAAATAACTGTATAATTCCTAGTAGCTGAGCCTAGGATGACATGGATATTAATCCACAACAACTTTAGTTGTGACTTCTCCAAGTATATTTGATGTTCTAAGAAAGGTTTTGGTCATAATCTCTCTTAAGATGGAAAATATTCATATAAAAAATAAAATGACATAATAAGAAAACAGATTATAGGGTTAATTTTTTATTTATTTATTTATTTTTTTGCACCAAGGACAGCACCCTCTGGTCCACTTCCRTGTGAAKAGTCCACGTTTTATACCTTGCTGTTTTAACTCTTCCTCTTCTTCTTTCTCACCAGTCTTATGAAACATTACCTTAAAATATCATTTCAACATGCTTTCTCTAGATGAATTTGGGATTATATATGTCACTTGCATGCAGGTATAAATAAAATGAAATGTGATCTTGCATTTTTATTTCCTAACAGTGCCATTTTTCCCACAGAAACCATTTAAGAGTAAATTGAATGGATATAATGATTATTTCAATTGAGAGTATTTTATTGGAGGAGAATTAAGGGAGGGATTACATTCTTTGTATTTTGCTATGCAAGCTACAGTCAAACAAATGACTAGTAACTTGTTTTAATAGTTCATTATGCTTTTTTTCAGTTCTAAGCTAAATTTATACCATTGTTTAGAAATCATCATATGATAAATACCCCATGCAAGGAAATCAACTAGTAAACTGTTTCAAAAATCCAGCACAATGACAGTGATAATACTAGGTATCCAACAGTGCAAATGATTATCTTATGAGTGACATTTTAATGGCCTATAGTATACAGAGCCAACTAGTCTTGTCTGTGGTTGTTCTGTATCATTTTAGCATGTTAAATGGAGAAATTAAACTCCCTTCTCTTTGCACAGTTTATCAGTGGCCATTGATTTTTTTGCTTCTTGGGATACTTTTTGGGAATATTATCTTAGCTTTTCATTTTAGTACATCATAAATCACTTTTATTAGTCTTACAGTTTTCAAAGCATTGTACCAGATGCTCCATGTAGATAGAGTAGCACATTGCCACTGTCCCCGAGGAGTCTGAAATCTAGTGGGGAAGGCAGAATATAAACAATTTTCTAAGCAAGGCACAATGCAGAAAGAAGTAAACATTAAGTA